CTTTTCTTAATGATTCTTTCCAGTGTCTTGATTTAAGTGGTGGTGAGACTACTAGGTCTGTAGTTTGAAGTTTTTCGTCTTGATCCTCCTTTGTGGATGAAGGTTACTGTGGCGTCTTTCCAGTCACGCGGTAACACTCCATTTTGGAAAGAAAGCTTGAAGATCGTAGTCAAAGGGCCGGCCATGTGGGCTGATAGCTCCTTGAGAAGCCTTGGGTGAAGATTATCAGGACCCATCGATTCCCTGCATCTAGTTTCCTTAGGCCGTTAAGCACTATGTCTTGGTCGACGTCTAAAGAGTCTATCCTGTGTTCCTCTAATGCAGCGAAGGTTGATCCTATGGGGAGTGACGACTCCGGTGCAAAGACTTGGGAAAAGTAGTCTGCCATGTTTTTAAATTTTTTTATTCCTTCACGTTCCCAATGGAGCAAACGGCTTCAAGCTAGAGGCTTGAAGTTTCTTTAGCAGTGTTTATTTTTACAGGATGAGGTTGTTAGCCTCATGCCCAACCTTTCCTCTTTACCAGCTTTATTTCTAGCTTAGCGGGGTAAGGGAGTGCGTCGGCCGGGGATTGAACCTCGGACCATGCGCACGGTCGGCGAGCATCCTAACCACTCTGCCACCGACGCACTGCCACTGCTTCTACTTTTTCTTGATCTTCTTCAACTGTATCATTGTCAGTAGTCATGTTTGGGACACCGTTGGATATTTTATTCCTGAAGTTCATGAACGATACAATTTTCTTGGGTTGTACCTTTGCATTTTGAGCCAGATGTGTCTCGAACTTAGTCCTTGATTGGTGGATTTCTGCAGTAGCTTTCTTTCTAGCGGTGTTGCAAAACTTTCTAGTATCAGGAGTCTCAAGTGTGGTAAACAGGTTCCATAAATTGTGTTTACGTCTGAGTAACTTACAGATCTTTTGGTTTATTCAATGGGAGCAATGATTCCGGCACTTTGGGATAGACCAAGGGTTGAAACGTCCAGTTACCTGGGCCAGTTGTTTAAACTGGTTCCATGCGGCTTCTACTTGTGAATCTGGGTTAATGTACCAGTTCACTAAGTCAGCTGTTGAACCAGTCACATATAATATGAGCTTTCTAAAATTTTGGTCGAGCTGGGGATTCGGCCCATGATACTGCATCTGTACCAGACTCCACCTACCTTCTCTAACCAATCTTTAATGTTTTGTGTGCTCAATCTATTTAGTTTTTATTTATATTTTGATTATAGCTTGATTCCACACCGTATTTTCGGTACAAGTATGGAATTTTCAGCATGTGATATCTGTAGCCCAAATTTTCCAGGCCGACCATTGATATCAGGTGTGCGTCGGCAGGGGATCGAACCCCGGACCATGTGCATGGTTGGCGAGAGTCCTAACCACTGTGCCACCAACGCACCGATGAAAGTGATTAGAACCGGATTTTAAAGAATGAATTTGTAGTATATGAAGGACTGTACGTCAAAGCTACGTCTTCAGTCTTTCATCAGATGTTTCCTAGAAAACTGCAAAAGCCCTAATTATTGGTTTCAGTGGGGCTACAGCAGTCGTGGGGATTTGTTGAAATTGTACTGAAATCTGTGAGAGGTCTTGGGCGTTTCCGAAACTCCGTCAAGTAGGTGAAAGGAAGTGAAATACCTATAAGCAAAGTTAGGTACTGGTTGCTTTATATCGAATACATCGTGAAGGTCATTCAGATCTCGCAATTGATTTCAAGGTTAGCAGCTAGAATAAAGTTACATAGTAAAAATGAGTTGTTATATTTTCATACATAAAAAACCTATAAGCCGATATCGATAATTTGTTACTCACTGCCTGTGTAAAAATTTGCGTGGTAATAAACAAATAAAGTAACATAATATACTGATGAAATCCTCGAGCTGTCAGAGGTATCATTTAGTGTACGTGATTAAGATTGAGATATAGTATGCGTTGATGCTTTTCAGCATTTACCTCACTGCTCATTAATCTACTTCCCAGGCAAGTATATTTGCATTAGCAATGTCATTTATGATCATCAGTGTATTCGGATGCTGAAATAATACTCTTCAGAGAATTATTTAAGCATACAGTTGCGTTACGAACTCATCGTGCAGCATTATTTTCAAATTATTTTAGTATTCGTGATGTATATTATTGTAGGTCGTATCTAACGACAGTCTGATAATCACAAGATCAAATAAATATCAATAGATTCATTTTTTCGCCTGAGCATGTTCTGGTATTACATACTGCTAAATCATTTTCAGTCAAGCGTACGCGACTTTTGTGATTTCAACTCTAAATTGACTTGTACAATTATTTAGGTGGGCGGTAGTCACGTTTAGTGTTCTATCCGATATCCAACATCGATCTAGTGTAAACCAAGTTGATTTCTTGTGCTCATTTCTTGGTTGTAAGGTAAAGGTTCCCAGTCTCCGGTAAACTTCTGCCAATAGATTGTCGTAGCTCTGGTTGACTGCAAAATAAGTGGTGCTAGGGTTGATTATTTGTGGTTCGCAGTATTTTAAGACCGTGTCGTTACTATAAATGGAGTTGATCCTTTCACCCATTAGCCGTCCGATGGAGCCGAAAAGGGAGATAACAATAATAATAACAAATATAATTAGCGTAAATAATGTAGACTTAAAGAACAAAGAAAACGTAAGAACGCCTTTTAGGGGGCTGTAGGTATCGACGTTCGCGAGTTGTACGGATTATACTAACGCAAGATCTTATACCAACAACTTCTATAGTGTTCGTTCTTCGAGTACCAAACGGTAAAGCAAAAGACCAGATTTTGTCGTCCAAAGTACGTATTATATTTCGGGACAAAATCGCGGGTAGAGGTGAATGCTTAGCTAGCTAGTAATCGTGCACGCACGTGACACGACGGAGCACCAAATGGCGGGGATGCTTGACCGTAAGCCTTCAGCTAAACAAGTCGACTTAAACAGTGATGGTCAGCATCCAATGTTGAGTGATGATTGCTGTGGTTAATAATTTTGGGGAATTATTTACCGCTACAGCCTTGCTAGTGAAATTTTAAATTGATATATGTATATATCTTTCAGTAGTAATAATAATAAGCGAATTAATAGATGGTGTAGTCAGGAGAGTAAGACAAGGGGAAGCGTGACGTAGTAGTAGCAAGTTGATTATCACACTATCTTGGCAGTCATTGAAATCGTTAGATATGCATTCTCCGATTGGGGCGAAGTGTTTGCTAAAGTGCGTGATTACGCATTAAATTGTGAACCAGTTTAGTAGTAGACAGAAGTGACAACAACAACAGAAGTGACTCAATGCAAATACCAGAAATATGGAAGATATTATTACCGCCGGTCAAATCAGAAGAGGATGATAAATAATCTTAAAATTCTATTTCAAATCAAAACGTTCTAACAATCAACTTATTATGACTATAAAAACACTCGTCGTATTACCCATCTAATTGTTATGGATTAATAACACTCGTACTATTATTTCTGAATGTACATTATCTCATATTGAATTTTATTCCAATATCGAATCGATTCCACACATGTATATAAATGAAGGAAAGAAGTTGTGTGAGTAACTTGATATGATTATGAGCAATAGTTTGTGCTCGAAACGTCATCAGTTAATATAACTGTACAACACTATGATTTATCAAAATAAAATCTTAACCATTATGGAGTTATACTCTACCACAGTGCCCAAGTTTTATACTCATATCATTAGTAGTAGACAGTATTCTTCACATCATGTTTAGTAGTTCCACTGCAAACAGTCACAACCAAATTTCTTTTGACGAGAAGAAATGAAATAGGTAGCTTTTGGCAATAAACATTATTCCTTTTACCACTTATCCCACGTGCTACCCACGATAGGTGCTTTTGGAGATTACACCAGGGTGACACAGGACATAAATTCACTCTAAGGGGAATGTTGTAATACTCAGAGTTCGTTCTTTTCCATTATTTCATTCTCAATATGGTACCGGGTGCTCGCTCACCGTAGCCGTCCTTATAAAAATATCAGTTTGGTACATTAAGGTCTCATACTTATCTTCATGCGAGGCCCACAACCAAATTAATTCTGTAAATCTCATTCGTGGTTTACAACTGATTAGATTATTTGAAACAACAGATGTTGCATTAATCCACCCGACTATCCGGACGTTAGAAGTCATAAAGAAGTTCATCACTAGGATTTATAAGCAAGTAAAAATGAATATTTACTAAAATTAAATTTGTTTTATGTCCTACTAAAGCTTATTATTTGGTATATTATTAGCTTTGACCACTATTTTTCCACCACAATTAAATTACTTCTAGAATCCAGAGGCTTTTGGTTTATCTGAATGTTGTATCTTAATATTGGATTTTCCCAAGAACTGTCATTAGGTGTGGCTTCGTGTATGTAAATGTTGAGTGGATAGCAGTGTATGAGATGTACTCCTGCTCAGAGTCTGCCTCAATTTGCCATAATAGACAAGGTAATATGAAACGGGGCAAACAATAAAATATACGAAATTATCATGGTAAAAATGAATACACAACTTCTGAAAGCATAAGTCTGGTTTTAGTGATTTAATGACCAAATACTAACAATCCCCGGTGATTTGTTAGCTGTATTCTCATGTCCGCTCTCAGCTAGTTGACAGACAATTAGACTTTTGAGAATGTGTCTCTCTCTCAATTGCTTTAGGATATTCAATCGCGTCCTCATGCTTACACACTCTGTACAAAAAAGTTGTTGTTGAACGTAACTGTTTTAATTGACTTATGAAAGAAGTAAACTCAGTTGCCAATCGTGTGTAAACTTAAAGTCGCAACTCGACTTATGGTTGAGTGATTCTATTTTTCTGTTAACATGACGACAGCACCAACTCTGACGCAATAGGTGAGATTCGTTCTATGTCGTAGACTGTTTGGCTTTCCAGTAGTACTGTGCTCTTCTCTCCGTAGGAATTACTTTTGCCTTATCTTCACTCCTAAATACAATCAATAAATATTTGAATGTTTTTCTTTCAGCTTTATAGGTGAAGAAGTGTCGGACATCTACCGTCACTATTCAATCACCTCTCCACACAAACTTCTGTGTTCATTACGTGGAAGCTTGATTACAGGTGTTCACATCTGGTTTATTGGCTTTTGACATCAATAAAAATGGTAAGTATTCTTCTATATATTATTGCGTGCTTTAGACTCAATCATCGTACTTGATGGCCTTTATCCGGAGTCTAATGGAAAAGTAACTTTTTTTCAATTTTGTTTCTAAGCCAATCCTTTTCTTGTGTGTGTGCAGTAGTTCCATGGACATTCGAGAAAAGAAGAAACGTCAACTGGAAAAGGATTTCACAGAAACAGGAGCCGTGCTGAATATATGTCTTACTGGTTTGTTTGAAGGTTGCATGTTTTGAACTCAACCTTTTTTTGTTTTTAGAAAAGCTTCCTGATGTGAATAAAATTTTAAGCACCTATGGAATAGTTTCACAGCGTATCAGAGGTAAACAGTGTATTATTTCTTTCAACTCAAACACCAATTAGATAACAAAACATCTGTCACTAAAATACAAAGAGATCTTATGGAATGTAAAAGTTTGTTATACTGTAATAGAGAAGAGTTACGCAGGTTGTGGTTGGAACTTGTTGAACAAAGGAGATGTTTAGAATTGGTGGATCAAGTGGATCGACTACGTTCTACTCCGGATGTATTGAATTGTTTAGTAGCTGCTCGTGCTTGGTCTGAAGCAACATTTGTCATGATTAATGCAAATTATATGCTTGAATCAGAGATTGCTTCAATCCCTGCAGTTCAAGGATTGAAAACGGAGCTAACACAAAAGAATAAGGTAAATGCAAGTTTTTAAAATTATTTGTCACGGTTAAGTGTGACAGGCCAAGATAGTGTAACTCTCTAAATTGTTTGAATTTTTTATAGCCACATTATTTCAGACTTTTCTTCATAGAGTTTTATGGACTATGTTGGCAGTTATTGACTTTTGTAGAGGATAAAATTGATAAGCCGAAAGTAACCAGTCACAGTAGATATTATATTACATACTTTTTTAGGGGGAAAGACTCAACCTGGTGTCAGTTACCAAGTGCTGATTCAAATGAAGTATTGTCTAATTTAGGTTTTTTTTACTTACTGACAACTATCCGTGTAGGTCGTCTACAAGCCACATGTCAATTAGGCTTGTACACTTGTCTTCCATACAACAGAACTCAGAGAATATTTATGTCTAGGCTTTTCTTATATGCCATCTAGGAAGTCGTTCTGTTCGGTGACAGGAGTACCTCCTTTCGATGTACAATGTTACAAGTTAATCTGTAATATAAAATCACAGATAGTTTTGTCTGTGAAATATTGGTCGATAGCTGGATATTATGTCTACACTAGAGATGACGTCAGTTGGAAGATGCTTAGATTTCGTTATCCATCAACCCGTTGGGAATAGGTGATGCAATTTCCCAAATAAGTGAAGTGGTCAACACGTCCCTTCAACTACTTCACTCCTGTCTATCTTTAAGGTAAAAATGAGTCGATGTAGTCAAGTACTGTAGCATCATCTTACATTTGACAGAAAGAACGAATCGCATGACAAAAATGTAAAGATTTCTGCTCAAAGTGTCGAGAAAGCTCTGCATTTTGTCAGTCTTCACTTTGGAGTTTTTAATATTGTATCAAAGAAATTTATTTATTTATTTAAACACAAAACTTGGTATAATATGGCACCAAGACGATGCGCCACGCAATAATTATAAAAATAACATAGATTAAGTAAAAATATAAGTAGAGAACGGATAAAGTATTCCATGTGGAAGAAAAACAGTCATATTTAACAAGTTCAAACAGCATTCGTCAATTATCGTCGGAAAGGGAAGGAAGAAGGAAGTTGCAGCACGTTCGCCATTGATCACGATTCTTGGCCATATCCGATAACGTTTCGAGTGATCTCGCGGACCCCAACCAGGGAGTCGTGACGCACCAACCAATGCTAATCTAGCACAAAAATCCTTCACTCCACAACGCCACGTCATGGACTGACCACCCCTCCGCTTTTTCCATCCCGTCCCAGGGCTACCGAACAGAGGCCTGTACCGAAGCTTCTGGGCTGACATTCGCAGCACATGTCCAAGCCACCGAAGCCGGTGTTTCAAGATGACAATGACACTCAGCGAATGGTGATCTCCACTGTGTCCAAACACACTCTGCCGGGCCCCAGAATTACTCACGCGATGATGCTATCGTGCGCAAGCAATCCTGCAGAGACAGTGATGATCGAATACACAGAGTCACCGCACATCCTCAGCTTGGAGAGGCCATATTCCACAGGCGTAGAGCAAGACAACCCTCACCGAAGCATAGTAAACCCGACCTTTGACAGCCAGGCTAACGTCGTGACGGCGCGAGAGGTGGCTCAAGTTATTTGGTTGTCTGCATTTCTTGAATCACCCGTGTGTGAGATAGTATGACAACAGCTATGCGACTTAACATAAAGATGTTAATAAGAAAATTTAATTGGCTCAGTAAAAATTTATATCTTAAAATAGCTGAATATTTCTTTCTTTTGGGTGTGTATTTGTTGAAAATTTACTCTTCGAAAATATTTAGCACATCAGGACAACATTCTCAAGATTAGCTGACTTCGAATTCGGTTGAAAAAGATTTGAGGGTGGTTGAATCGTAAAGTGCTATCTATTAGTCTTTGAGCTGCGTAGAGACGTTACGGTCATCGGAGTGAAGAAAGTCAATAGCTTGAGAATGTGTTGGTTATATGGCTCAGAATTGTTCTAAGTGGTACCGACGAATTCACTCTGTGTTGTCTCATATTCACTAAAGCCTCGTGCTACGATTCTTTCTCTTGCACATTTGAAGCTGGAGACCTTCATGAAATCATAGCACGGATACACAAGGCTCGTTTGGCATTTGCTAGCTAACTGACGCCATCTATGCCTTAGTAGACGTTATATCCGGCTTCCTGTTAATCGAAGGACATGTTTTCTACACAGTAGCAGTTTGCCCCGTCCTCCATCATAACTGTGAGACAAGACAATTGAAAGTGGGAGACATGAAAAGCCTGGCTAGCTGCCTTTGGTCATAGGTGTATCCTTTCTATCTCCCATGTTAAGTGGTATAGCAGAGTGAGCAATACTGAGGCTAGGTATCGGTCGTGTGCTAGTTAAGGAGGGCGAATCAATCGAAGATGTTGTGAAGCAGTTGCATCTATTGAGATGGTTAGGGACATGTGTTACGCTTTCGTCCCTGGCCATTATTTTCCTCAACAGTCAATCTTAGCTGACATAGGATTGATTGGGTTGAAAAAGAGATAGTCATGGTCAAACCAGAACGTGGTTTCATCAATCAGTGAAATGCATACCAGTTAATTTGAGCCATCCAGTCACATAAGGAGGTGTAGACTTCACAGTTGGGGTACACGGAATGGTGGAAACCAATGAAGGCTGGAGACAATTGGGTCAAAATCTTCGTTGTCAATGGATGTTGCGGATGCATTCATTCACCGTTTGTGATTTATCGTATCTAATAAAACTATTGTTCCTCCATATTACTATTCTTTTTCCCTCACACTTGTGTTTACTATCTCTCTTTCGAACCTCCCTTTAATCTCTTCTGTTGGTTTGTGTGGTAGATGGAGGGAGTGTGGCAACTCAAAGGGTTGCAAATCTGTGCAAAGTAGTCCTATGTTGAAACCAGTCAGTCACTCCTGCACATTTGTGTTTGTGTGCTACCTGGATTGGGGCAACTTGAACTGGTACACTTCTGTACAGAGTTCTATGTTGACATTCAATCAATCAAGTCCCACTCTACTTACTTTAGCCTCAACGACTGGTTAATATCATCAACCGTCATGCAATAAGTGTGGTTGTCACTCTGCCACATTAAGTGTTTGTTCGAGAAGGGGGGTAGGTGGGTTAACTGAGCCTAAAAAATGAACTTTGTACCTGGGAAATCTTTTTATGAATATCTGAGTTCTAATTCAAAATTGCTTCTGTAAAATGTTGAAAATTTTTTAAAATAAAACATATATTTATTATATACAATTTCAGTTTCTAATAGATGAATTGAAAAAAGAATTGAATCGTCTACTCTATGATAAACCGTGTACTTTAGCCTTGAATTCACGTTTACGTAACTTGGATTCACTTCAGCTCCACAAGTCATCATATTCTAATTTTGAGTAAGTGTGTGTGATAACTATTTCTACCAGTTTCTTTTCTCTTTTCTCTTTATCAATTTCCCAACTATATTTAAGATTGTTTTTGTTCTGCTTGGTGGTAGTTTAACTGAAATACTGATTGACATGAAGGTTAGAAATGGGTACAATGTCAAGTCACAAACGGTACACTACGGGCACCAGGAGATGCACTTCATAAAATCTAATAGATTGCGAGGGCTGAGATGCTATCTTGAGACCCAGACCAAAGCACGCAGTTGTTTTAAGCAGCTACCCACCGAACGTTTGACTTGAATTCGGTTTCAAAAGGCAGGAGAGCTACGTTCCCGGTGACCTGAACAGTTTCATATGCAATTCGATCCTTTTTGATTCTTGAGCCCATTTACACCCTTAATTTTGAAATCAGAGTTTTCCAGCTCCTCTTGGTAGACCTGCATGACCATCAGTCTGGTTGTAAGTGCTAGACGTTCACACTTACCCTTTCACACTTTGTGAGGAATACCCCATCCAGGTGAAGGCGGTGAATCGTACTTACTTGGTAGAGAGATAAATTTGCATAACTGATAGCTGTCATCATGCCCATTGATGATGATATTCCATATGTTAATATTATTATTTTTTATTATTATCCCCTTGCATTCCGAATGGAACATAGGACTTCAACAACATATCTCCACTTTGTTCTATTTTCTGTCGTCCTCTTCAGCTGGGTTCACGTTTGCCTCAGGATGGTCGGGGGTGGGTGCCTTGCACTGCGGGTCGGCCACCCCTCCGCACACCTCTTGAAATGCTCCCATATGACCGGGCGTTTTACATAGCCTCTCCTGAGGAAGTCCTACTCACTGCCTTCACGTGGCGGAGGTGTTTTTCACCAAAGTGAGAGGGCGAAAGCGGATGTCCGGCGCTCTTCACCGGGTTGACTGTCCATTGGATGACAGTCTAGGGGAGATGGCTAAACCCTGATTCCAAACCTCTAACGACTGGCGTATGAAGCTCACTGGAGCTCACCGGCAGACGTATGGACAAAGGGCTTGTTGGATGTCCTGGATGTCTGGCCCCATTCAAAATGGCGTATGAACCGAACTCCGGTCACCGGCTGCCAATGGATAGTGGACTCCCTACTCCACTCCTACTGCCTTTTAGGTCACACTTGGTTGTGTAAAGGCTAGAGCTGCACTCTCAAACAAAAGGCCGAGCGATTCTGGGGACATCACTCGTACCAAATTCCCATGAAACTTCATGAACTCTCTTGCTACAACATCAACCAAATTCCAGTGCTGGTCCAACAACGTCACCTTCGGTGGTTTGGCCATGTTCTGCGCCGACCAGATGACGATCTGGTCAAATCAGATCTAAATCCCTCACCATTACTATCTTGGCGAGGTCGCAGGGGTGGACAGCTGAAAACAAGGCTTGGTACAGTCAAGGCTGATATGGAGTGCCTGGGGCTACAAACCGTCTACGGACTCCGTCTGTGGAACAAGAATTGCATAACCCTGTCACAAAACCTTGCATCAGATCGCCGCGCCTGGGCAGCGATGATTCGAGATGTTCATGAAGCCGGCTCATCCTCCCGTAGGAGATAGCCGAAGTAAAGTAAAAAAAAGTACGTTTGCCTATAATCTCTCATCTCCTCTTCGCACGATCTCCTCCATGTCCCCGTTGCATCGACGACCCATTCGTCGCTTCTCGCTGAAATTCCACTCGAGCGATGGCCTTCATTGAGTGCGATGCCATTCAATGGTCTCCTTAACGTATGCTCAATCCATCTCCATTTTCTCTTACGTAATTTTTAAGCAATTGGCTCTTGGTTGGTTTGTTCCACTGCAGAGTTTCTTGTTGCTAATTTTATCTAGCTGACCATTTGACCTTCAGTATGGAGCCAGAGAAGGTGGCAGCTATTAATAAAAGTCTTCCGTAGCCTGTTGGAAATGCTTTTCCTAACGCGGACTCCACGTTTCTGACCCATATAGAGTTGAACAGAAGTGACTGATTTCACATTTGTGTTGAAAATCCGAATCTTGTTCTTTATACTGGCTGAGTGTAGATTTCCAAATTGGTTTCTGGTTGGTTAAGGCGTACCTTGCCTTTCCGATTCTGCCTGGCTTTGACATCTTCATCCATGTCAAATGCCTTTGCTTGAAACCGTGTTTCCTAGATAAGGGAAGGAATTACCCTCTTTCAAATCTCTCCCATTGATGGTGATTGGTGCTGGTTGTTGTTGCCGTCGATCGGTTATCTTCATCATCTCCATCTTCCCTGCGTTCACCTACAGTCCTGTCTTCACTGCCAGCCGCTTCTGCCAGTTTGTTGGTTTTCGCCTATGAGTCTTCGAGTTTGTGTGTCATTAAACATAAATCACCTACGCGCGAAATCCAGATTTTCTAGAGCCTTCTTATCTGTGGTCCAAAGTATTCCTGTCTTCTCACTCCCTGTGTTGTACAGTCTGATGCATAATCCAGTCCACCACGAGTAAGAATTTCATCGGTGATAGTAGACAGCCCTGTCTCACTTCTGTATCCTACTGTCTTCGTTTAATTGGTTCTCCTGGTTCTAGTGAGATTATATGAACTGATATATGTTAAGCTAAGTCGTAATATTCAAAAAGGAGGTTGCTAAACCTGTCTGATTACAGTTGTCTAATTCCTGTAACCTGCGACTAGATGAGTGGAGTAATGGACACAATTGACTAAGATTTCTAGTACATCAATATTAACACGTGAGAACTAAGAACTCTTGTGTAATGAATGTTGTAGGTTTCCTTCAGGTGTAGAGGGTAAATTAGTCATTTGGTTTGTACACTTGTACAGGAGAGCGTGTGTTCTTTGGGAGTATGTGGACGGTTGTTGCTCCCTGGTTGCTCACATTGTGAAAGTTGATTTTTTCTTGAAATATCTGAAACAGAAGGAGCTGTAGTGTTACGTGACCACGTAGCTTAGGAGACAACTGCTTGAGGCCGGTTAAAATAGCCTATTTGAATCGATTTCTGGATTTTGATGGGACACTAGTCAGTAACTAGTGGGATGTGTCTAGTCCTTTATTTGGTGCAATGTGGCCACCATTCTAGAGTAGCTTGCCATCATGGTGCACATAGATTTGATGATATTAGATAGTTGGAGGCAATCGGAAGGAACCCTTGCTCGACCTAGGTTTCATGCTAGTTGTCACTCACTAGTCAGCAAGGCGTATCTGCAACTGCCTTGAAGGAACTGATGTCCCTTCTGAGATTCGAACCCGTGTTACCCAGTGCTGTAGTCAGAGACGTTATTACTGAAACATTCTGGCTAGCGTTTGACCTCCTGTAGGACTGTGGTTGCTATTTTGATTGGATACTAGTGGGTAACTTGTGCGACGTGTCTAGTCCTTTATTTGGTGCAGACTGAATTCTATCAGTCAGGTTTGCGATGTAGCCACCATTCTAGGTAGCTCGCCATCGTGGTGCACATTTCTAGATTTGTGTTCGTAATAAGATCTTACAGCCGGGTACTGACCGCCACAAAGTAAGTCGAAATGTACAAGTTTTGGAGTTGACTGTTTCTAACCCAACCTTGTTAACCTCATATGCAGACTTCCCTCTCTTCCATGACTATTATCGGTTAAGCGAGGGTGAACAGTGTGTTGGTAGGTCATCGAACCTGGACCACATTAGTAATTGAAGAGTATTCTGTATCCTCAAACTATCTATCCTCTTTTTTTCCCGCTTATTATTATTATTATTCACAGTTCAAGAGAACCTGGCTCAATCAATACAACTGCTGTGACACACTTTGTCAGTTTACCACTATCAGATTGGCATAGTGCTTCTGTTGTTGAACCCATAGTGGATAGTAATCTGTATAAAGAACCACGTGCAGTAGCTAAATCTGTTGCTGCGGCTGCTGCGGCTGCTGCTGCATCACAGGCAAACAATGAATCATCGACCAGTCAAAGTGGACAACCACAACAACACCAACACCAGCAACACCACCACCAACAAACCGGTATCTCTCATTCTGATTGGATACGTGAAATTGTCGCTGTAACACATTGTCTTATGCGTTTACAAAAATTACCCCAGGTTAGTAGTAGAAATTTTCTCTCTTTTATTTTTTCTTCACGAAGGCAAGAATGACATTTGTACACCAGGATAATTTTGCTTTATTATTTTATTCCTTTTATGTTCTCAGTGCTGGAACATAGGGTGGTTTCAAGCTAGAGATTTTATGAAGTTTCCGTAGCAGTGGTGTTTTATTTTTACGGGATGGAGTTGCTAGCCTGACGTCCAACCGTTCCCTCTTTATCAGTCTTATTACTGGCTTAGCGAGGTAATGTCCTCTTCGATGACTTACTGCCTCGCCTTCAATCTGCTGTACCCTACTGGTCACGGCTTCCCACTAGAGAACCCTAGGTAACTGCCTGAATAAGACCAGTCGCTAGTGAGCATCAATGGGCGAGTACTAATGAATCTTTTTCCAAAAGTATTATACTTGACTCATGGAAAAATACCAAGATTGTTTCAGTGCCTAAATCAATAAGTGGACCTACTGTTAAGTTTAGACCCATTGTTATTACCTCACCTTTTTTGAAAGTTATGGAATGACTTATTTTACTTAATCTTGAACCCTCTTTAAAGCCTTTCAATGACCCCAACCAGTTTGCTTATAAGCATAGTAGGTGTACGTTAGATGCCGCTATTGTCTTATATCATAATATAGTCTCTAGTTTAGATAGAGGAGCTAAATACGTTCGGTGTGCCTTGCTTGACTACACATCTGCATTTGACTCTGCACCTAGGTCTCTCTTGCTAAGTAAGCTTGCTGCAACACAGGCTGAGAGGTGGAAAAATAAGTGGTCGCTCCATTGCTCCATTCCATCTCGAAATCATGCAGGGAGCCAGGTGAGAGCCTACGGAGAGTTGTCATCTGAACTGGTGACAACTACTAGTTTCCGTCAGGGATGCCCACTATCCCCATTTCTATTCAATTTCATCATAGATCTACTGATGGATTTACCTGTAACAAACTTCAGAGACTCGGCGATTGATTTGTTACCAGGGAATAATCTCGTTGACTTAAAATATTCAGATGATATAGTCCCCTCACCTGGGTAAGGCGGCTGACAAAATGCAGAGTCTTCTGAACACCTTGAGCTGTAATCTACGAATGTTTGGCATGCGATTCGCTCGTGTTGTGAAATGTAAGATGATGCTACAGGACTGGAGTGGACTAAATTGACTCTTAGCTTAGAAATAGGGAGTGAAGTGGTAGAGCACGTTGACCGTTTGACTTATTCGGGAAGTTGCATCAGCTAACGCCAACGAGTTGATCGCTGAGGAATTCTCAGCACGGATACAGAGGGCCCTTTTCGCATATGCCAGTTTACGCCTTCTCCGACGTAGACGTGATATCAAGCTAAGTGTCGACCAAAGGGCGTGTGTAGTGCTCACCAGTCCTCTCCGTCCTCCTTTATGGCTGTGAGACCTGGCCATTGAGAGTAGAAGACATGAAAAGCCTGGCTAGCTGTCTTTGATCATAAGTGCCTGCGTTCTGTCTCGCGTGTGAAGTGGTATAATAGGGTGAGCAATATTGAGGTGAGGCTTTGGTCGAGTGCTAGGTAAGGAGGGGAAATCAATCGACGAGGCTGTGAAGCAGCTGTATCGACTGAGATGGTTACGACATGTGTTATCCATGCCTCCCTAGTCATCGCCTTCCTCGACAACAGGCAATGTTAGCCGACATAGGATCAGGTTGGAAAAGAGCTAGCACGTGGTGGTCAAAGCAAAACATGGCTTCATCAGTCAATCAAATCCACAACAGTTAGTTTCAGCTAGCCAGCCAGTCACGTACTTACTTACTTTACTTCGGCTATCTCCTACGGGAGGATGAGCTGGCTTCATGAACATCTCGAATCATGGTGAGAGTCGTTTGTAAGAGGGTTCATGAAGGTTCATGGGATTTTGATACGAGTGATGTCCCCAGAATCGATCGGCCTTTTGTTTGAGAGTGCAGCTCTAGCCTTTACACAACCAAGTGTGACCTAAAAGGCAGTAGGAGTGGAGTAGGGAGTCCACTATCCATTGGCAGCCGGTGCCTGGAGTTCGGTTCATACGCCTTTTTGAATGGGGCCAGACATCCAGGACATCCAACAAGCCCTTTGTCTGCCGGTGAGCTCCAGTGAGCTTCATACGCCAGTCGTTGGAGGTTTGGAATCAGGGTTTAGCCATCTCCCCTAGACTGTCATCCAATGGACCGTCAACCCGGTGAAGAGCACTGGGCATCCGCTTTCGCCCTCTCATTTTGGTGAAAAAACACCTCCGCCACGTGAAGGCAGTGAGTAGGACTTCCTCAAGAGAGGCTATGTAAGACGCCCGGTCATATGGGAGCATTTCAAGAGGTGTGTGGAGGGGTGGCCGACCCGCAGTGGAAGGCACCCACCCCCGACCATCCTGAGGAAGGTGTAGACTTCCTGACTGGTTGGGTTCCTTGGGACGGTAAAAACCAATTAAGGCTGAAAACAATCGGTAATGTGACTCAAAATCGTTCTCAGTGATGGTGCAGATGCATCCACTCATTGCGACTTTTAATTTCTAATGAAACTATATTGTTCTTCGTTAATACTATCCCATTTGTCTCATATCCCTGTCTACCGTCTCTATTTTGTATTTCTTCTACTTTCTTCTCTTGCTTTGTGTGCTATATGGTGGGTGTGTGGCGACTTGAACTGCTGCACATCGGTGCAAATTTCTCTGTCGAAAACAGACAGACACGATGGAGTTGCTAGCCTCATGCCCACTCAACCTTCCCCTTTTACCAGTCTTATTACTAGCTTAGTGAGGTAAAAAAAGTGCGTCGGTAGCCGGGGATCGAACCTCAAACCAAATGCGTGGTTGGCGAACATTCTACCGCTGTGCCATCAACCAGGATAATATGAGCTCATTTTTGTTTATTATTTCGAGGAGTCTTCTCAACTGACTGGATACAACCTGAAGAATACATAAAATATTACCTACGTTAAAGATTTGAACATACTTTTTTGTCACGATGACAACGAGTAATTTGTTAAATAATTAAGAGTGAAAAGGATTGACTACTTATAGGAAAATTAGACGACTAGGCTTGGAAACAAAAGAAAAGATTCCAAAAGAATTTTTGTGGGTTGAAACAAGGTTTAGCTAGAAACCGGTATAACAAATAATAGGTTACACAACCACAGGAAATATGTTTTTATAAAATAGCCGAAAAGGAGGGGAATAGGGTGAGTAAGGTTTAGACGAAAAAGTTGTATCAGCACCAACGGATTGTTTGGCGACGAAATTTCAGCACGGATCCAAAAAGCTCGAGCTGCTTTCGCTAACTTACACTATCTCTGGCGTAGGCGTGACATCCGACTATATCAACCAAGGGACGTGTGTACTGCTCAGCAGTTCGCTCCGTCCTTCTCTATGGCTCTGAAACATGGCCAATACGAGTTGAAGACATGAAAACGTTTACTGTTTTTGATCATAGATGTCTACGATCTCTTTCTCACGTTAGGTGGTATAATGAGGTAAGTAATGTTGACGTCAGGGGAAATCAATCGATGAGGCTATAAAGTTACATAGATTGAGATGGCTAGGTCACGTGCCATGCATGCCTAACCATCGCCTCCCCGACGGGCATTACTAGCTGATATAAGTGCAGGTTGGAAAAGAGTAAGTGGTGGCCAAACAAAAACATGGCCTCATCAATCCATGAAATCCTTGACAGTTAAACTGAGTCAGGTAGGGAGGGAGATGCAGACTTCCGGGTTGTGGCCCTCGGGACCCTAAGAATCAATGGCTGGAGACAATTGGTGACATGGCTCAAAATCGTTGTCAATAGCTTACGCAGATGTATTCAGTCTCTTTAACCTTCATATGCCTTCCTACCATTACTTGTCAAAACTCTATTGATTCTCTTCACTCATTTTATTGTCTACCTTTGGGTGCTATTTGGAACGTGGCAACTCGAAATGCTGCACTTCGGTGCCAAGTTCTATGTTGAATCCAGACAGACGAAAAATCAAGTTTTTTGAACAGAACAAAAGATGAGGTAGTCAAATTTGTACACTTTGTTATCACCAAGGCAGTGCGAAATTTACCACTGTCTCTTTCTGCTTGCATAGATTTGTTTTATATCCGTTTGATGGCGATTGCCTTAGACAAATGTAGAGAGCTGGTGCCTAAATCACCAATTGTTCGAAGTTACAATTCATTGGTTGCCTATTGAGGTTGGCTCTCAGTGGCTGAATGGTTTACGAGCTCACTCACCTTGTAACTGGAAGGTTGTGTGTTCGAACCCTGGCGGGGTGGGTACGTACATCTGATGAGTCTCAAACTAGGCCGACTAAACAGTTGCCCAGTGCTCCCTACTGGTTTTCAGTGGTTCTCTAACTGATATCAGCCCTACAAAGAAACTCTTGAAAGTGAGTGACTACTGTCCAACTAGATTTTATGAATTTGGTATTTTGTTATACAATTGAATTGGTTATAAGCTTTCACATTTTTTTTGATTTGTTGTTGTTTTCTCTGTACTTTAATTTTGATAGTTTCTTGGTGATTGGCGGCCTCAAGCGCATATTTCACATATGACAGGGACTGGTCATGTCTTCTCTGCACCGCTAATTCTTGGTCAAGGTTTAATTGGTGAAATCCACAGGTCAATTGTCTTGAAAATAAGTAAAGCAGTTGAAAATAAGTAAGTAAGAAATTAATTTTTTTCAAGTTTCGTTTTTATTTGGAATTATTTTTTTTACTGTGAAAGAAATACAACCACTCGGCTGATGAGTCCTCAGAGAGGACTATGTACATGCACCTTCTATTCAACTGTTATCCGCAATCAACGAAGTAACATAGTGAAGATATGTTGAATATTTTTACTTTCCCAATTTTATTATCATTATTATTTCACTAAAACACAAAATTAGAACATTATCGGCAACAAGAAATGTGCCACACCAAAATCCAATAGTATGTATGAGTTGATGGTTGGAGGCAATCGGCAGGAAGTCTTGCTTGACCTAGTTTTCTTGCTAGTTGTCACTCACTAGTCAGCAAGGTGTACCTGCAACTGCCTTGAAGGAACTTATGTCCCTTCTGAGATTCGAACCTGTGTTACCCACTGAGAGCTGCAATCAGAGACGTTACCGCTGAGCTATTCGGACTAGCGATTGACCTCCTGTAGGACTGTAGTGGATACTTTGAATGGACACTAGTAGCTAGTGTGACGTGTCTAGTCGTTTCTTTGGTGTAGACTGAATCCTATCACTCAGTGAAGTTTGCAATGTGGCCGCCATTCTAGGTAGCTCGCCATCCCGGTGCACATTGATTTCATGCTAGTTAGTAGGAAACCTAGGTCCAAGGCTTCCTGTCGATTGCCCCCAACCACCTAATATCATCAAATCAATGTGCACCGTGATGGCGAGCTACCCAGAATGGTGGCCACATTGCACACCTGACTGATAGAATTCAGTCTGCACCAAAGAAAAGACTATACACATCACACTAGTTTACTGGCTAGTGTCCAATCAAAGCATGTATGTGTGCTAGGATACTACCGGGACTCCCAAACCGAAGGTAAATGATATAAGTATAAAACTTGGGCACTGTGGTAGAGTATAATTCCATAATGGATAAGATTTTACTTTGATAAATCACACAGTGTAGTACAGTTATATTAACTGATGACGTTTCGAGCACAAACTATTGCTCATAATCATATCAAGTTACTCACTTAACTTCTTTCCTTCATTTATATACATGTGTGGAATCGACTAGATATTGGAATAAAATTCAATATGAGATAATGTACATTCAGAAATAATAGTACGAGTGTTATTAATCCATTGCAATTAGATGGGAAATACGACGAGTGTTTTTATAGTCATGATAAGTTGATTGTTAGAATGTGTTGATGTGTTTGAATGGAAATAGAATTTTAAGATTATTTATCATCTTCTTCTGATTTGACTGGTGGCAATAATACGAGTGTTATTAATCCATTGCAATTAGATGGGAAATACGACGAGTGTTTTTATAGTCATAATAAGTTGATTGTTAGAATGTGTTGATGTGTTTGAATGGAATTAGAATTTTAAGACTATTTATCATCTTCTTCTGATTTGACTGGCGGTAATAATATCTTCCATATTTCTGGTATTTGCGTTGAGTCACTTCTGTTGCATGTGTTGGGAATCCTTATCATCGAGTCTACACCCCAACACATGCAACAGAAGTGACTCAACGCAAATACCAGAAATATGGAAGATATTATTACCGCCAGTCAAATCAGAAGAAGATGATAAATAGTCTTAAAATTCTAATTCCATTCAAACACATCAACACATTCTAACAATCAACTTATTATGACTATAAAAACACTCGTCGTATTTCCCATCTAATTGCAATGGATTAATAACACTCGTATTATTGCCACCAGTCAAATCAGAAGAAGATGATAAATAATCTTAAAATTCTATTTCCATTCAAACACATCAACACATTCTAACAATCAACTTATCATGACTATAAAAACACTCGTCGTATTTCCCATCTAATTGCAATGGATTAATAACACTCGTACTATTATTTCTGAATGTACATTATCTCATATTGAATTTTATTCCAATATCTAGTCGATTCCACACATGTATATAAATGAAGGAAAGAAGTTGTGTGAGTAACTTGATATGATTATGAGCAATAGTTTGTGCTCGAAACGTCATCAGTTAATATAACTGTACTACACTGTGTGATTTATCAAAGTAAAATCTTATCCATTATGGAACGAAGGTAAATGGTTCTCTCAAGGAGCCATCTCCACTCGGAACCTCTGACTTGAAGTCTGATCCACGAGATAGTGGAGCAACAGGGTTCACAGCTGCTTTTCCCTGGTTCCCAGTGACCGAAATATGTTCATACTCTATTCGGTTATTTTGGATTTTGGAGCTCAAACATACCGTAGATTTGGAATCCAGGTTTCTTAGCTCCCTTAGTTGAACAGACCAGCATGCCTACCAGTCCAGTTGTAAGAACCAGACGTTCTCTTTCGCCCTTCCACTTTTGTAAGGAACACCACAATGGGGGAATAGAACATACGTGGCAGAGGCTATGAACATGTGGTCACATGAGAGCATTTTGGGAGGAAGATTGGAATATCTACCCACCGTCGATTGTATTAGTTCGTTTAAGGGGGGTTGGGGCTCAGAGATTAATGAATTCAGTGTGAGCGAACACAATCACTGTCGTTATGTAGATGATGCATCCTCTGTCTAGGGTTGGTTGGTTAGTTAGTTAGTTAGTTAGAACCGAGGTACCTTACTTTTATGGGTTAATTATACTACTCTTCAGTTGTTCAGACTGAAGGTGATGGAGCGGGATTCGAACATGTAGACCCCATTGACTGAGCTATATCTCATTTTGAGTGACAAATATACTAATCTTAAAGCTCTACTAATTAATTACTTTAATAGATAAGCCATTAAGTCCGAAGAAATTTGTCTCCCTGGATTTTACAGTATTACAGCCGAAGACTTCAGAATCAGGATGTCATGTCTTTTGACAGCTAGTTTATGGTCATGGATACGAAGACGCAGGGGACGTCTACTTTAGTCAATGCAGTGTTTTTTGCAGTTATTACAGTTTATTTTGTAGATGATGTTGGTTTTAGCTTCCTTTTTGTTGAGTCTTTTCGTTGACACAGAGCCAGCTGAGTGTAGTTATTTTGTCGCTTTGTGTGAGACATCAATTCCTAAAAGTTTAAAAAGTCTTGCAGTGATTTCTGAGATGTAGTCCTTCAGTATATGATAGGACGATTTTCTTTGTGCTTTCCTTGGGGGCCTTTGATTTGGTAGGTTGGCTTGGGGATAGATGTCTTTTGATGAAATTCCGTGGATATCCATTCTTTTGGAAGATTCTGTTTAATAGGACAATGAAAGCTTCGCGAATAAAGCATCCAGCTCAAAGAACACAACTCCGTTAAAAGAGTAACTTTTCGCTGAACGGCTTTTCATGGACGTCTTCCAAAAGAATGGATATTCACGCAGACGAAGGGGACGTCCACTTTGGCCAATGTAGTGTTTTTCGCAGTTGTTACAATTTATTTTGTAGATGATGTTGGTTTTTATCTTCTTTCGTTGTTGAGTCTTTTGGTTGACACAGCCAGCTGAGTGAAGTGTTTTTGTCGCTTTGTGTGAGACATCAATTCCTAAAGGTTTGAAGAGTCTTGCAGTGATTTCTAAGATGATAGGACGATTTTCTTTGTGCTTTTCTTGGGGGGTCTTTGATCTAGTAGATTG